CCTCTCCTCCTTCAAGACATCTCTACATACTAGAAAAAAGGTGGTATTATGATGCCATCCTTTGGTTCTTCACAAATGCTTTTTTTAATGCTCTAACACCTGCACTTCTTAGATGCTTTGCTAACCTTTTCCTTTTTACCCTTAACTTCTCAAGTGGGTCTGTTAAAAACAGACAGGTGCTATTTTTTCAGGCAATATTTACTTAAATTGTGTCATATAGTCTACATTCAGATTTCTCTTTCAGAAGAAAACATTGCCTCAGACTGTATCTGCATGTAGGCAAGGTAGAATCACAGGATCACGGATTCACAGAATATGTTGGATTGAAAGGAACCCATAAGGATTTTTTTTTTTTAATAGCTAGAATTTCCATATTTCTACATTGGTTTTTATAATGCAGTTTCTTTTCATTAAGTTTTTTAACATATTTGTCATGCATGACTGTGGTTTCCTCTGTAAGCCTCTAATTTATAAGGGAAGCTTATTATACAACAAAGAAAAACTATCTGATTTCACATAACAAAAGGGGAAAAACACAAAAGATTAAGGTGGAGTTAAAGTCTAAAATTTACCTATAAATTCAGTCTATCACTTAAAATAGGCAAGTAGTTTTCACCAAATGAATAGTCCCAGTGAAATCTAGGGCAAAGAACTGTATTTAGAACAATTTTTAGCAACTGTTCTGACCAGCTGGGGTTGTAACAAGTTTTGTGCTCAAGCATAACAAGACTAACAACCTCAGGTAATGGGAAAACAAATAAAAATAGGTTAAAGAGTTATCCTGGGTTATCTGTAGAGTGATCTCTTCTCTTGGTTGGGCAAATTGCACATTAACAGAGCAGAAGCATGATGCAAGGCAGCTTGCTGGGCATCAAGGGTTTGTGGGGCACCCATTTCTGAATTATCATCTGAAAGGCTGTGTAATTCTCTGAAGAAAAATATTCACTGCAGTTTGCTTCAGCGGCTGAAACCTACTTGCTGTTCTCTTGACATTTATGTTTGGAGGAGGGTTTATGATGATTATCTAAATGAGTTTTGGAAAAATTCACAGGCTGTTCATAAATAAAGAGTGAGGAGAGCTGGGTAGAGAGATTAATCCAAAGGTGGCAAAATGAAAGGCAAGAGTCTTCCATATATTGCAGATCCCAAAGTTGTCCTTTATCTTTCTTCCAGAAGAACTTGTGATCTTGTGGAAAACTAATACAAAATAAACTGATCTCTTTTTTCCTCTCCATATCCTATTATCATAAGCTATCTGTCATCTCAATACTGCACAGATCTATTTGATCCTTGTGTGTTCAAAAATATTTTTATATTTTACTACTGCTAACCTCATCAAGTTAGTTTTGTAGAGTTATCTTGATTATTCACCTTGTGTCACAACAGAGTTTTTAATTTAATTCCAATTCAAACTTTTGCCATACTGCTAATGCACATACATGGAAGAGCACCTTTTAGGTTTCAGATTTCAATTTCCCTGAGAGGGAAAATTTGAATCCATATATTTCCTGTCTTATTCAGGTTATGTCACTTCTTTTGATTTAAAGAGAGATCGCAGTAACAGGAACTAATGAAAATTCTTTTGCCTTTAGATAAATACAGTAATCTTCTGTTTTCAGGCTACAACTTTCAGATCTGCAGACTTCAGGCTTGAATAAGAAACTTTTGTTTTTATTACTTTTTTGTGTGTGTTTTCCCTATGTTTTTGTCTCTGTAATGGCACAATGGTTGTAAGCAGTGTTAGTCTCACTCTGAGGCTTTAAAAAAAAGTTAAAACACTTTCTTGTGAAATTACTAGCAAAGAAACAAAAAATAAAGTCAGCATTTATTTACCTCAGTTTAGAATTTTTGGTGTTGGAAATTTTGTTTTCAGGAATTATAAAAGTTTCTTTCCTAATTTCAAAGTATTCAACAGTTTTTATCAATGAATACTTCAATCAACATTAGAAACCAATCAGAAGTTTAAAAAAAATCTGGATTTTGTCTTTAAGTTATTATGCATACAGTAGGTATGAAAGTTTGATCACTTCCAGTTTGAAGGCCTCAATGGATATTATGAAGAGAAAAAGCTGATTTAGCTATACCATTACACTATTTCTGTTATTTAATATGCTTGTTTGAAGTGAAAGTCTGTTTAAGTAAACGTATTTTTCCCTTCTACGTATCCATTAAGATAGATTTATTTACTTAGTGAGAACTATTTTAAAGTGCTTTTTTCTGCAGTTGTAAAGATGTTGTGAGGTCTAGATAAATATTTTCTAACACAAATACCAAAGAAATAATAGTGTTCACCTAATGAAGAAGTTATAGCACTCACCATATTCTGACATTATGTAAAGGTGAAAAATGAAGAAGTTAAATTATATTAAACTAAAAACCTGGCTAATTGAATGGGCAAAGATATAAAATAACTTTCTGATCAGCAACAAATACACTAAGTGGGCAGCTTACTTAATAGGACATATTTAGTCAGATATTTTACAGCTTGCCAACCAACTGAAAGAGGGAAGGCTCTTTAAAGGGCACAAAAAAGGATAAATGTAAACAAAAGTAACAGATAACTTAAACCAAGTTAACCTCCTTGACGATTTAAATCACAATTAAAACAAACAATTTAAATCCTTGGGAATTAAATCAGATCAGTTTTCACTCATTGCAGTGAGACCCTGACATAGGCCTGCAATACCAGTAATGGTTAATCACAACTATTCTTACTTTGTAGCTCTCTCCTGGTAATCAAGCCTGGCAGGTACCCCTGCCAACTGTATGGTTTAGCTCTGGGCCACAGTTGGATTTCACCCACAGTGTTTAAGGAATGTGCAATCCCAGAGGTTTTCAAATTGTGATGTGTGTAAGCGCTAGCCAAGTTGCTACTAGTTGATTGTGAACCACTTTAGCATGATAGGTGACACAAGTCTGGGAGCAGCGCTGCTACCATGGCTGCTGGTACCTACAGAGACGCTTTCCCCTGCTCATCCCTACAATCACTGATGGGTGACAGTGACCAGCCTCCAGCCCTCAGAGCACAGCAAGGTGGTGACATAATTTTCTCTCAGGGTCTTAAGTGATCAGTCTTACAAAGATGACCAAGAACTTCAGGTTCAGAGCTGTTGGCTGGAACTTTCAAGCTCCTTGCAATGAGGAGGCCCCTGCCCATCCCTGTTCTGGATCATCCTCATAACTGGATTACAGTGAGTATCACAGAAAACAACCAATAGGCTTTTGGTTGGACAATAACTTTAAACAATATTTGCCCTTTCTCAAATATTTTTTTTCTCATAGGGAGATGATGCAATGGCAATTGCAAGGGAACTTAGAAATAAAGGTATCCCCAGATTTCATGCTCTTCTTTTTTTCTGTTTCAAGCTGCCCACTGTGCTGCAGGTTAAATTTTTTGAGCAAAGAATTAGACTTACTTGTAGTAAAGTTTACCATATGCTAGTTCTGGGGGAGATAAAGATACTCTAAATGTGTAACCTGCACTGTGGTGATGATGAGATATTTGGAATTTCCTTTTACTAAAAACCCACCTGTTGCAACTTTTAACCCAGCCTGTCGTGCTGGGCTTGAAATCTGTGTGAGAACACAGTTCAGATCTTACAAAAGCCTCCAGTCAAGGGGCAGGTGTGATAACTGGTCATACCATAGAAGAAGTCTGTCTGGTTTTATTTCTGGTAGATGAAGTCACTTTTTGAGAAATTGGATGTATAAAACTGCAGGGCATGATACGATAATAAATGCATAGAAGCTTTCATATTTATTAATTGAACATATTATAAGATAGAAACCAGCCAGAGTAGTTTTCTAAACTGGGATCAAGATTTTTTTTTAAAGCAGCAGCTCTTTTAGCTACAGATCCTCATACAAAGCCCACTGTGAAGTTTCTGAGAATCAAGAGACATAAAACTGTATAAATATTTGAGACAAGGTAAACAAGACCATCACATATCATATATCCAAAGACGGACATTAAAAAAACAAACATAAAAACAAAGCAAAACCAAACCAAGAAAAAAAAAACAAAAAAGCCCCAAAACAAACAAACAGAAAACCAAACAAAACAAAACAAAAAAAAGACCAATCCAAACCCACAATAGGAAGAAGTGACACTTCCTGAAACCTTGTCCCAAACCAGTCAATAAAAAGCAACTTCTAGACTTCTAGAGATCACTTGCTGAGAAATTACTTGTAAGCTTCCATTTACTGTTCTGAAAAGTGAATGATAAATGGGATAAAACTGTTGTTATTCCTGGCTTAGAAAGAGAAACTGAGGCACTGAAAGTTTATGCAATTTCTTCAGAACTAACAAAGGACATGAAAATACAACTCCTGTCCTTGGTGTCAAGATCCTCAATCTATTTTTCAAAAATGGGAGATGTTACTGTAATGACTATATTGTTCCCCTTAGGGTGAAGGGCAAGTCCCCTTCCAGTGACTTTCTTGATGTTGTTTGCTAAATTCCTTCTTATGGCTGTCAACAGGGCATTTATAAAACTAATTATATAAAGGAAAAGCTATGCCACACGGCAGGTATAAAAAGTAACAGTTCTAAGGATTCATGCAAATACTAAAATATTGAATTTACCCTAGTGTTTTTCATGTTTTGTGTTACATGGCCCAGAGGTGTTTCTTTGTTTCCTACAAAAGGGATATTTGAATTTTTTTTCTTTTTCTATTGCTCCAGTAATTAGTCATGACTGACATTTAGAGATATGCTGGGAGAGGCACCCCAATGCATTTTCTTTGGATACTCCTTGAATTAGGTTCAGTGCTAAGAGAAAACATTTTCCTGCACCCCTCCTCTATATCTTTAAATGAATGTCATCCAAATGGCATTGCCACTCAAATGTTACAGTGAAATTCCTTGCATGCTGATAGTGCAGTGTGGGAATCTCTAAAATTGTCCCCTGTAGGCTTGAATTCAGCCCCTGAAGGTTCACTTGAGTTTAATTTCACTAATCACACAGGGACAGTTATTTTTTTGCTCTCGCTCAGCTTCTCTTTCCCATGCAAGCACACTAACACACACACACACACACACACACATACACACACTCACTCACGCTGCATCCCTCCCGCTCTGTTGCACTTAAGTCCAGATTTGCTCTGGCCATTCCTGCACACAAGCAGAGAGCGACACAACACGGCGGTGCCTAAGACCATAGGTGGGTCGTTTGCTTCAAGCCAATTTATTCACATTTGCAATGGTAAGATTGATTTTTATCCTGCATTTCTGAGTTTATTTAACTGATTTCAGAAACTGCCACAGAGGTGGGGGCAGAGATCGTCTTCAAGGTTGCTGTCATCTGGAATTTTATGTCCTTCATTTTCTTTCACTCTGTATGCCTGTCACATCGGCTTAACTGTGAGTAGCGTACTAGCCAGTACCTCTGGCATACTGTATATTAATAGAATATTGATATAGCCCAAATACTGTTGTGGGATTCATCATTTGGTAAATCCTCTGCCGTCTGCAGTTTTACAGACCCGTTTAATTAGCAATTTTACAACCTTCTATTCTCTCATTAAATTAATTAATAATTAAGTTCAAATATAGGCATCTTTAATGTCATAATTATATTTCAGTTTTATGGTCACCAGAGTTTAGCTCATTAGGCAAAGTAGTCATAAACCACAGTTCTATTTAGGGGCTGAGGCACTAATGCACAGGTAGGTTGCTTCTGCTCAGTATTTTTTATCCTTCTCACTTTCTCCCCTTCTACCCTCCTCCCCCTGCCTTACCCCCTTCCCCGCTTCTCCAGATTTGCTTCCTCTCATTTCTCTCTGCTAACACTGGCATTTTTTTTTTCTGTGGCAGCTCTTTCTTATTTGTATGTCATGTTAAAAACAAACAAAAAGATAATCCCTGGCACACACTGTCACAGCCCCCCCTCCCCATTACTCTCTCTGGAGCAGTGCAGTGACACTGGCCTGCTATGGGTCCTGCTTCCTTGAAAGCCTCAGGGACCACCAACTCCAGTGCTGAGCACCCAGTGCTGAGTACCTAGAGGAGGCAAATTTTGTGCAGCGTCATATTGGTGATATTGTACTTCTTTTTGACTGCAGGATTTACCAAGGCATGGGATGTAGTAATGACATTTCACACAGTATGATATGTTGTGCGTTGTTTTATATGTAGTGGATTTATTTCAGTCATTATCACTGATTAAACCAGCTTAGTTGAAAAGGCAAAGCAAAACTTGGCTTTGAAATTGTTCTTATTTAATTTTGTTTGTGCTCACATAACCCAGGACAGCACTAATTATCTCTTTAGTGTAGCTCATATTTCTAATGTAATTCATATGTAAATTGTAATTTAAATCATATGGGAATGTTTGTGTTCCTTGCATATTCTCAGTAAAGAGCACAAACAGCGAATTAAAACTGTTTGGAAATGAAAACTTTATGTTGCCTTTTTTGAACTGTCTTTGATTTCTTTTGGCTTGTTGTTTCTCTAATGAATCATGATTCAATTGGATGGCTAAGGCCGAAGCATTTAGTCTCCTCTCTCTCTGTATTTATGCAGCTTGCTCACTGGCCTGCTTTTCCTTCTGAATTTGGAAGGCAGGGGGGAGCTTTCTGCACACTCGCTACCTTTGGAAAAAAAATCATCATAAGATGACTATGACTAATAATGAATAATATTTGTATCACTACAGAGCCTAAGAACTTGGCATGTCACTATTTGTGCCACTTTGCTGTTCAAATGGAACCACACAAGAGTGTTATTTCTGGTAGCATATCTGATAATATTAGGTTAAAATTTTAATCCCAAACCCGACTTTCCACTTAATAACCTTAGCATTTGTTTTTTGCTTAATGCAATATTACTGTCTTCTCTGAAAGCTGTTGCTGCCCATAGTGAAGTGGTCTTTTGACAAGGCAAGTCAAAACTTCTTTGTATGAGTAGAGCATAGGACAGTAAAAATTTTTCCCAGACTTCTGAAGTTTCAGAATAGGTTTGCTTCCTGGATGTGAGAATGCTGCTGGGATACACTCTAACACCAAAAACAGAACTAACAGCAAAAGCAACAAGCTGGATGTCACCAGGAGGGTGAGTGTGAAAGCCTGCAGAGTCATGGGCAGCAGATGCAGGTGTGCTATCATCTCCTGAAGCAGAAAAGAGAAGGCAAACGATTCGAAGGAAACAGGAAGGGTAAAAAAGTCAAATAAAAGAATAATTAAACCTGGAAGGCTATCAAGTTAATGAATAATGATGTCAACTGCACCTTTCTTAGCTGGAACTGCCCTTTACGATTCCTAGGTAAAACTCTACTCAAAACATTAGTGAGATAATGAATGTCTGTTTCTCATCCTGCCAAAAAAGGTGTTTGCCCAGCCCATGCCAAATGAAGCTGTCTGTGCTGTACAGAGGCCAGGCCCCAGTGTCACTCCCTTGCCCCAGAAAATTGTGACCTGACCTGCCAGTGGCCACATAGGAGCTTGTTTGAAGTGCTCCTTCAGATTTAGTGCAGGGTGTGACATGATGGTCGTGGAAGCCTCTTCCCATGGACAACTGCTGCTCAGACTAGTACGCAAAGCCCCCAGGGGAAAAATCCTTAACTCCCTGCCACCCTCTCTGTTGTTCCTGCGTATTGCTGTGGCCAGAAGAAAGTTTAAGGCTTTGAGGACTAATACTGGTGTATTAGTTCCTGCTGTTGTAATACTGAGCTCTGGGACAGGTGACCCTGCTCACCAGCGGGAAAGATTGCATGTGCCAAGAAAGAGGCAGAGGGGCCACATCAGTGAGCAGACACACTGCTTCCTAACATCCCTCTACCGACCTCCCCTCCAGGAAAACCTCTCCCTATGTTACAGCGATCTTGTCTTTCTCAGGCCTTGGGGACCCCCTTGCAGATAAGCTCAGCTTAGCAAGGTGCGGCATCGGGACGCTTTGTAGCACAGTTGAACAGAGGGTGGAAAAGGCAAACAAGAGGCATCACTGGTCTGGTTTGGCTGTGACCTCACAGCCCTCCTGCAGCCAGGTACCCTGCAGGGAGGGATGCTGCCACATCTAGGGCATGCATTTAAAACATGTGTGAACACACACCCCCACGCACATGCACGCATACTCACCGTGACGACACAGGAGCTGTCCGAAACTATTTTCAATAATTGATTTGCTGTTTAATTGAACATCATGACTGACTAACATAGCTCATTACTTTACTCATTAGTTAATTATCGAAGAAAGTAGGACAAGTCAATAAAATGGAAGGTTGTAAATTCCAATACTAATTAGCACCATTTCCTCAGAGACATATTTAAGGGCAGATCGGCTACCCGAGTGTCCCTGGACCTTGTAGATGAAGGGAAAGGGTAGACTTACCATAAATCTAGATTACCGGCAAGCAAGGCTCCTCAGCAGTAAGTAGTCAAGTACACAGGTGCTGAGCTACTGTCAGGCACCCTCTTTGAACTGGAATATTGGAACACAAGCAGCACAGAAATTCCTATTTTTAAAAGAAAAGAGGGGGGTGTGGGTGGTGAGGGAGGGAGTGCTCATACACCAGAGAGCTCACACACCACATTTAAAATAAATTATGCAAACTGAACTACTTCTGAGGAGCACATTTGCTCTCCGAAGCGCTCTCTTTCCAGTCTCTCTCACATTCACTTCATCCTCTTTTTTTGGCAGTCCAAATCCTATTCAAAACACTAGTCAGACCCCTTCAGGAGTGGGTACATTTTCAATTTGTGGTTTCCAATTTATATCTCTGATTTGTGGTTTGGGTTTTGGTTTTTTTTAAGTATTCCAGTGAGGCAGAATTTAATGGGTCCAGCAGAGCTTTAATTGAGCCAAAAAGTAATGTATAGCAAATAAAGATAGTCTCAAAGAAGACTGGGAGAAAAGGAAGCAAAGGGAGTGCACATATGTGTAGCATGTCTGCATGCATGTTATATATTTTATATATACATGATGTGTTATATATATGTGTATGTATAATTGAATAATAACTGCACGAGTGCATATAAAAAATACATGCAGATACATACATAGAGCTACATACATATCTACATACACACAAACAGAAATATGCCTATATAGGATTCTTTTTCCTCAGTAGGAGGAATTTAGCAAATTTCTTGAGTTCTGCAGTTTAAAAGCCCTCAGGACTTACAGGCTGCCTTTTAAAAATCAGCACAAGAGGACTCAGACTATGAAAAGATTCTGTTGATATACTGGTACACTGTTCAACCATTCATCTAAATTATTATAAACAACTAAGGGATCAGAATAAATATATTTTATTAATTCCTTTTATTTGGAGTCATATCTTTTAGGTCTTCCTCTCAATATACATTCACTTTTGAAAAATTAATTTCCAGTTAGGTGAATGGAAATGGAGATCAAAAGCATTACTTGAGCTCAACTTAAGGGAAGAAATCACCCTAAGAATAGCTCTCATTCTGGAGCTTTAAATATTTAGCAATTCTAAAAATATATGAATGGATTAATGTAAAAAATGCTAACAAATGTCTGCTACTTGACTTACTATATTTTTTGCCTGATTATTAAACCACAAGTTATGTTTTATTTTCAAGTGTTTTAAAAATTACCTTGCCAGAGTGTTCTAAAAATCTTTTTTTTAAATCTAAAAATCCATTGCATGGATTTTTTTAATCAGTACTTTTGAGAATCCAGCCTCTTGTGCAAATAAAGCAAGACTGAAATTTAAGTTTAGGGAAGAAGGAGTAAATGTGGTTAACAGAAAGTTCCTGATAGAAATAATGCAGGGGAAAAATCTTTAACTATTTTAGTAATTTTTTTTTTTTTTAAAGTGGTATTTTATTACCCATTTTTGGGAAGGGATATTTGTTCAGGATGTTCTCTTCACATTAGTAAAGGATTGGAAAAAAAACCCCAAAACAACACCATATAAAATTGACCTGGGAAACAGAGAGAAAAAAAATGTCCCCAGTTAGATGTTCATTCAGTATAGGATAAGGCACAAGGTATGTACAGCATATACAGGCACTGCATACTTGCTAAGAGTTGGAAATTATAAAGGAGAACACTCAGAAAAGATATGTTTCCAGACAGTGCCAAGCACTCTTTGATACTGAGATTTTTTTTCTTTTTTTAAATGATTCTTGTTAGGTCATGGTGGATCTCTAGATTTACTTGAATACCTTGTCTGCATGGCCTCGGGGAGCTCCCAAACTGAGCAGCCAGCAAGAGCTCAATATATGCAGGGGGGATGGGAATGGGGAGAAGGCTGTGAGAGGACCCGACTTCAAGATTTGAGTCATTCTTTAGAGCCACAAATGGCTCTAAAAGTACACAAATATGCAATGCTTATTTTGTAGTACATTTGTAGTACACATTGTAATGTAAATAGTACCTTACATACCTTATATAAT